GTAAACCTGTCTTTGCATTATTCGTTATGGATTTTGAGATTTCGGCCAAATATTGGTGCAAAGATATTGTTACGGCCTACGGCTGCTCCCTTAAAGGGTCAAATCCTCAGGGGCCCATGAGCTGAAGACTTCCCGAGCAGACGTAGGTCGGGCCTCAATGTGGCCACGTGGAATCTCTCTAATTACACTAAATATATGGGGGAGCGTTCTATACTACGGCCAGTCAACCGCCAGAGGAATTAGGCGAAGATTACTTACCTATATCCAAGGCGACTGGTCCCTCCGGAGTCGGTCAGGTCGCATGTGGTTGTGTAGTGCAAGGGAAATAAAGTGATGTGATGTGTATCTGGGTGTGACTGATGGTGATTGAACCTAGACCTTGACCGTCGGCAGCAGCCCGAGCGTCGACACCGCTCCAACTTGAGGGGGCCTTCCGAGGTTTTCCACAGTCACTTTCCTCTTTCGTCACGATGACAGTCAATTAACTCTATCGTACGATTAACTAACTTACAGAAGCCACTAACTATCGCTGGGTATAAGGTTAACTCACAAAACGCACACGGAGTTTACAGATCAAAGGTCACTACCGTTTCGCGTAGCAACAGTTAGTTCTAGAATATCAGGCCGCACTAGCTAATATTGCCGAATGCACTTATACAGATTCTGAGTCGGACCCAATAAGTCCCTGGGAAGCTCTCCAGCTAGGAAAACGCGTCACAAATCCTAGACCGTGTATTTACGGGCCGCTCCTAATTATTCCGAGTTCCCTAACAAAATTGACCGCGTGCTCACGTCAGCACCGCTTAAAGATGACTGATTGCCCTTGGGCGTTTTTCGCACGACCGAAAGTCAAACCGGTATGAATGCACCGCGCCGAGCGCCCTCTCGCGTCAATCCTTGAAAGTGTTTGGCGTGAACATGACGTCAACAATAGTAAACGACGATAGATAAGCTTTCTATTAAACAACCGAGTCTTGTCAATTGCACTACTTCTCAAAAACAATTCTCGTTAGCACATAGCATAACAATTATGGAAGTTTCGACTGGAAACTCTACGTCATCCACCGTACCCACTAGACCTTGGTCATATTTATTTCCATTTTTTTCTCAATTACTTTAAGATACTCGTACGTATAATTTTTAAACAGAAATTTTTAATTTTTTGCATAAAACGGATTTTATTTAGGTTCGTATTTATTGAAATGGCTATAAATTTTGTTCAGCAGTTAAACTTTGGATTCCAATTGTATTCAGATCAAAAAACTTTTCCAATATTTATTTACCAAAAGGAGATTTATTGTATTCGTACGGACGACATACGATAAAGATCACCCGATCGATATGTGCCGGTTGTTCGCATGCGGTTTACACAACACAGACTTCCGTGAAACTTATTAAAAAAATAAAAAATGTTTATTCACACCTTAATGTCACGCAAATAACTCTCGCAGCTGAATAAAAAGCAGTTACTTCGATATAACAGGCAGCTATACTTAAATTTTATTTATATATTATATACATATATGGTATGGGCAAATTGACGAAGTTTTATAATAATAATAATAATAAACCAAAATATTTGCGATAATGATAATAGTGAAATATATCGTAACCATCGAAAAGAAATCTTTATAACAGCTATATTCAAAAAAAAAATTGGATCACTGTGCATATCACAGCGACAAAGGTTTATTCGTGTAGAAAATATAAAATTCCGAGAAATGTATTCTGTAGGTTTCTCGTTGTAGATCAGAATTTATTGACTACTAAATTTTATATTATTAGAAGGCAGGTACCTGGATCGTATTGATAAATAACGAGATTAGAAATGGCCGCTCATTGAACCTGTACCGTCAACGGGCACAGTACCAATAGCGAAAATTCAGTAATAACGGTATATCGTTATAACGTTATATAATTCGGTTATTTCGGAAATTTTCTATTAATGGGAAAATATTTGAAAATAATTGTTTACGGAAGTAGGTAAATTAATTTTAATAACTAGCGACGTGCTCCAGCTTCGCCTGGGTGGGATCTAATTGACGACTCAAGATAATCATTAAATACCATTTTATTTTATGTTATTAATATTTTCTATTTAAATAAAATATAATTTTTTTGGATAAAATTTATTCTAGATTACTTCTGGTGTTACTCTCTATTTGTTAGTGGAGTTTTATTAAAATCGGTTCAACCATTCCGAAGATTAGCTCGGACAGACAGACAAACTAAAATTTAAATAATTAAAAATTTTGTACTACCGAATCCAATATAAATTATTAATAATAACTCAAAAACTATTATTGGTCAGACCTTAATCAAATTTATATGGGACTACATGTGAAGCACCAACTTTCAAATAAAAAAAGAATCATCGAAATCGGTTCACCCAGTAAAAAAATATGACAAATAAAAAAAACATACAGTCGAATTGAGTACTGTCTCCTTTTTGAAGTCGGTAGAAAATGGTTACACTCGGGTTTCAATGACATGTAAATATATTATACAAAAATATTAACAAACAATATTCACCAACAATTATGAAGAAAACTCTCAGAACGTATCCTAGTCTTTTTTTTGTAGTTTATGACATTTTGTTATCATTGATTCACCTAAGTCAGGTGCTGCAGATACAGGAGCTGCTGACGGCCCGGCCTCCTCAGTCCGCAGCTGGCCCTCCGACGTTTGCGGCGATGCATTACCAAATCGTCTCTGGTCCGTCTCCATCTGGCGTTGACTTCGGGTACGGATACCCTCCATGTCGTCCTTTGGTAAAATCGGCATGATTTGATCCCACTCCTGACACCAATTGTTACGAGCTTGGGGTTCGAGACAATTAAAAACTGCCGATTGAATTAACAAAATTGACACTTTAATTACACAACACTAATTATAACTTAAAATCACACTAATAATAAAACACAGTTCGCCGTTATTTCGCTTCGAAGTATTCTCTTGTATCGCCAATTCAATACTGCCTTGGTCGTGGTCCATACCGGCCTTATATAGGGCCTCAGACAGTTTCCAGAACCTTCCACTGTAGCGACATCTAGAATGTTCGAGTACATATCGGTCCCGAAATTTCTGGAAGGATCTCGACTCTCCTAGTTCTGCTACTCTACACTAGAAGGCCATGTACAAGACATTAATAATTGGCCCCATAATAACGCGCCAGTCGATCCACATGGACAATCCTAGGAGTACTTCTGACACCTTTCTGTATCCGGTAGGTTACGTCATTGATCCTTGTCACAATCCGGTACGGTCCGTCCCATTTAGCTTGAAGCTTAGGAGATTTCCCTTTGCTGCGAACTGGATTGTGTAACCACACTAGTGAACCTTCATCAAACCCCTTGTTGTTCATTTTGCGGTCATACCGTGTTTTCATCTTCTCAGACGGTTGCTGGCCCGTCTGTCTTACGTGCTCATAAATATCATTCATTTTGTTCCGCAAGTCATTTACATAATCGGTTATACTGCGTGGGGCATCAGGTGGTATTCCGGTGATCAGGTCTGCAGGCAGCCGCAATTCTCTCCCAAAGTTTGCGAAAGCTGGTGTCACTGATGTACTTTCGTGAACAGCGCTTCAATATGACAACAAAAACGGTTGTATGTGCCTGTCCCAGTCTCGTTGCCGTTTTTCCACAACTTTTGCTAGGTACCTTTCCAATGTCTGATTAAATCTTTCTACCATTCCATCAGATTGTGGGTGGTAAGAAGTTGTTCGTGTTTTCTGAGTACCCATAACTCGGCAAGTTTCCTGGAATATTTGAGACTCAAAATTCCTTCCTTGATCGCTGTGAATCTCTAAAGGTACTCCAAAACGACAGAAGACTTCATGAACTAGTTTATCTGCAACTGTTGAAGCTTCTTGATTTGGAATGGCGAAGACTTCTGGCCACTTAGTGAAGTAATCCATCACAACCATGAAATACTTGTTACCACTTTCAGTTTCTGGAAACGGCCCCGCAACGTCAATGGCTATCCTCTCCCATGGTGCACCAACATTGTACAATTTCAATGCGCCTCTACTACGAATTTGAGGTCCCTTTACAGCCGCACAACTTGTACATTTGCGGCACCAGTCCTCGACATCGTCACGGCAGTGGACCCAGTAAAACCGTTATCGGAACTTCAGGAGAGTTCGTTTAACTCCCAGGTGGCCTCCTGAACAACCACTATGGTACAGCTGTAGAACATCCGGCACTTTAGCCTTAGGGACAACCATTTGCAAATGACACTTGTCTCCCAGACCATTTTCCAGATTCCAGAATCGGCTTAATGTCCGAATCTTCCTGCTGTGCATGTTGTAGGCTGTCCTTCCACTCATTGCTGAGCTGGTCTGTCCTGAGCATTCCCACGTATACCACTTCCTTACCCTCTTGCCTAGTACAATGCTTGCAATCTTCAGGGCAAGGTCTTCTTGACAATGCATCTGCATTCCCATGAGATTTCCCGCTGCGATGTTCGATCACAAAGTCGTATTCCTGCAGTAGTTCAATCCATCTCGCAACTTGTCCTTCCGGATTTTTGAACTGCAATAGCCATTTCAGTGCAGCATGGTCGGTTCGTAAGTAGAATTTCCGCCCCAGGAGATATTTGCTAAAATGCTGCAAGGACTTTACCACAGCAAGCAATTCCCGTCTTGTGACACAATAGTTCCTTTCCGGCTTTGACAACGACTTGCTGAAGTACGCTATCACAATCTCTTGATCACCATTCCGTTGAGACAACACACCGCCAAGTCCTATATCACTTGCGTCTGTGTCAACTATGAATTCCTTGTCCGCATCAGGGTACCCCAAAATAGGCGTTTTGCACAGACGGTTCTTGAGCTCCTGGAATGCAATATCGCAACTTTCATCCCAGCAGAAATGTCGCTTCTCCTTGGTTAGCTTGTGCAGAGGTTTGGCTATATCTGCAAAGTTCATCACAAATCGCCGATAATAAGAGCACAAACCCAAAAATACTCTAACCTGCGTCTTGTCTTTTGGAACCGGTCACTCCTTGACAGCGGCAATTTTCTCTGGATCCGTGCGGATACCTTCTTCCGACACTACATACCGCAAAAAACTAACTTGCCGTTTGAATAGTGAGCACTTCTTCGGACTCAACTTGAGGTTGGCACTCTGGATCTTTGTGAGCACACGTTCCAGGTTTTGAAGGTGTTCCTCAAACGTACGGCCTACGATGATGATGTCATCCAAATAGACCAGACAGGCATCTCCAATTAGCCCGGTAAGTACAAGCTCCATCAACCTTTCAAACGTTGCTGGAGCATTGCACAATCCAAACGGCATGACTTTAAATTGCCACAGACCCTTTCCTGTGGAGAATGCAGTTTTCTCCTTGTCCTTAGGGTCAATTTCAACCTGCCAGTAGCCACTTTTCAGGTCCAGCGTACTAAACCACTTTACGCCTGTAAGCATGTCCAGCGTGTCATCAATTCTTGGCAAGGGATAGCTGTCCTTCTTCGTAACGTCGTTCAGGCGGCGGTAGTCAACACAAAACCGCATGCTGCCATCCTTCTTCTTTACCAGCACCACAGGTGAACACGATGGACTAGATGAAGGTTCAATAACCATCCATCACCATTCCCTCAATCATGGTTTCCACTTCCTTTTCACGTGCTACAGGCAATCTTCTTGGCCGCTGACGAATAGGCAATTCTTGTCCTGTGTTTATTTTGTGTTGAACTAAGCCAGTCTTTCCTATGTCAGCTTCGTTTGACGGGAAAACATTGGCATACTTGAGTAACAACTTCTTCGCCTTGACCATTTCATTCAGGGAAAGAACGCTGCGACAGTCTTCTAAAAGTGTGGTCACTCTCGTTTGTCCATCCTTGCTGGGGGTCCCGGTCGATAGATATTCGCACCGATGCAACCAATCCACTTCCTCACTAGTACCAACCAATGTGCCTTTTTCTATAATCTGTTCCTGATCACAAAGGTTCAACACACGTACTCCTGAGATGTCGGTGGTTCTGACCAAGGTTTGAGCCATTTTCCATGGAAGGTCATTGTCTACCCTTTCCACGAGTACACAACGATGAGCTTGCCCAGGACTCCGAGGAAGACTAACCGGCACAATCGTTTCCGATCTCGGCGAAAGGACAATCTTCTTAAGGCTGTACACATTCTCTGGTAACGTCCCTTCCACGAAAAGTTCCTCTTGTCCACATTTCAAAACACCTTGCTTAACGTCGATCTCAGAACAATTCTTCCTCATAAAGTCTAGGCCCAGGATGCAGTCGTCCATTATATCAGCCATGATGACATTATGCAGGTAGATCATGTTGCCTAGCTTCAACTCCATCTCCTTCTCTCTACGGACGGGTATGCGCTGAACGGTGGCTGTCACCAAATTAATGCGTTCTCGGTTGTATGCGGAGTCCCCAAAGAACCGACTTATAAGTTGGGAACTGACAACCATGCGAGAGGCTCCAGTGTCTATGGTCAGTTTACACGGCGTTCCGTTGACTTCGCCCTTGATGATTAGGCTGTTCCTATCATGGGTTTGTGAGATCGAAATCCTTGGGGCTCTTTTAACACCAGCCAGCACCCGCCAGTTTCCCTGCTGCTGCTGGGCGGTGCTGTCAGCCACACTACCCTCTCGATATCGATCACCTTCCCTTTCTACAGTTCGTTTAGGGCAGCTGGATCGAAGATGGCCCCTTTCACCACAGCCGTAGCACCTAGGGCTGTAGCCCTTATTGCGGTCCTAAACTGTAGCTGCTGCAACCTCCCTGACGCGGTGGGAACGATGATCCTGCCGCATGGCTTCCACCTCCAGTGCATGGGTCAAGGCGTCCTTAAGCGTCTCGTGGTGCCCGAGCCTCACAGCAGCTCTGACTTCAAGGTCGCGGATGCCGTCGATGAATGTCTGCACCAGGTTCCCTGCAATGAGCGCAGGTACAGACTGGTACGCTTTTCGAACCAGCTTCTCCACCTCAAGGGCCCACTGCTGCAAGTTTTCGTTACTGCGTTGCACGCGATCTTTGAGCTGCGCACGAAAGACGTATTCCAGGTGAGCATCGCCATATCTCGCCTCCAATGCCTCAAGGAGCTGCTCGTAAGTCACTTCCTTACCGAGAGCTTTCAGAACAGTTAAGGCCTGGTCGCGTAGGCCTAGGGTGAGAGCAGTCATGGCCTGACTTTTATTCTAGCCGTTCGCTTTCATGACAGCCTCGAACTGAATTTTGTAGGCCGACCAGGAAGAACTCCCGTCGAACGGCGGCACTTTGAATCCACGTAGCGAAGGTGTTGTAGCTACCACGGGAACTGTAACTCCTTCTCCATGTTTGAGGTCGTCCAGCGTTTTCTTCACGTCAGCCATCACGTTGTCAACCCGATTGTATACTTGGTCGATTCGGGTTTCAGCCGCAGACAGCCGGTTGTCATATAGAGCAACTTTATCCTCCTTTATCTCTTTCCCGAAGGTAGCGTAAAGGTCCTTCATGAGGAGCATCTACTCTTCCTTATCACGTTTGAGCTGCTCTTCCAACCGGCGGCCCTGTTCCTCCTGTCCACGCTGCAGCTGCTCTTTCAACCGACGGGCCTGTTCCTATTGTCGGCGGGCTTGCTCCTGCATCATCATCATCAGAACACCTAAGTCAGGTGCTGCAGATACAGGAGCTGCTGACGGCCCGGCCTCCTCAGTCCGCAGCTGGCCCTCCGACATTTGCGGCGATGCATTACCAAATCGTCTCTGGTCCGTCTCCATCTGGCGTTGACTTCGGGTACGGATACCCTCCATGTCGTCCTTTGGTAAAATCGGCATGATTTGATCCCACTCCTGACACCAATTGTTACGAGCTTGGGGTTCGAGACAATTAAAAACTGCCGATTGAATTACCAAAATTGACACTTTAATTACACAATACTAATTATAACTTAAAATCACACTAATAATAAAACACAGTTCGCCGTTATTTTGCTTCGAAGTATTCTCTTGTATCGCCAATTCAATACTGCCTTGGTCGTGGTCCATACCGGCCTTATATAGGGCCTCAGACAGTTTCCAGAACCTTCCACTGTAGCGACATCTAGAATGTTCGAGTACATATCGGTCCCGAAATTTCTGGAAGGATCTCGACTCTCCTAGTTCTGCTACTCGACACTAGAGGGCGCTAGTGTAACTAGTGTTGCCATGTACAAGACATTAATAGTGGCGCGCAACACTTTCTTTTACTCGACACTAGAGGGCGCTAGTGTAACTAGTGTTGCCATGTACAAGACATTAATAGTGGCGCGTAACAATATTGTTGCGCGTCACAATTAATACCACTAGCGCCCTCTAGAATCGAGTAACAGAACTAGGAGAGTCAAGAACCTTCTAGAAATTTCCATGGAAGAACTTTCTGGAACTATCACTATTATTTCAAACGAATCAAACACTACTTTGTTCCAATAATATAAAAAAAAAAACTAAATCAGTTTTTTGGTGATGTGATTTTACTCCTTTTCGCGGCTTTCCGGCAACGTTTGTAGATTTTTACTACTTTGTTGGAACAATCTTATTTTTTGAGGAGGATTTACTGCTGACCTATTAGCAATTTGTTCATCAGCTGAAGTAAGGTGATCGCTACCAAGCTATTTCTAATTTGTTTTGTGTTGTTAATTGTGTAACATAAATGATAGTAAGCTGTTATTTTTTGGTAAAAAGTCCCGCTTGGGTTTCTTGCTGGTTCTTCCCAGGACAGAGGTTTGTTTTTCCGAACCAGTGGTAATTAAATGTAAGAGTGACTTTCCATAGTGAATTATTGGTATTAGTATTATTATTAAGTATTATTTATAATCTACATTGAATAAAAATGTTTCTGTTACTGTTTCTGTTTAAGATCCACTACTTCCCTCAGTTCAAACTGAAAGCCCAATGGATCAGGACGCTGAATTGATTGCCACTTTTCGTTTCAGCAATATAGCTCAAAGAACAGACAACCGATGGGGAATTTAAGATTTCAAGTTCATACCGATAAGCAAAGTGAAGCCCGGTCGCCCACGAGGTGGAGTGACGACCTAGTAAGAGATGCAAGAAGTGGACGCAAGTGGCTCAGGATCGTGCTTTGTGATACATCTTGAAGGAGGCCTATGTTCTGATCTTGATTTTTGAAGAGTAAAGGGAAGATTTCTGTAGTGATGATGATCATAATGTTGATGAATCATATTATCCATTTATGGGACGGTTTTGTAAAAAAAATATAAAAGCTATTTTTCATTGCTCATAAGGCTTATAAATAAAACCTGACGGAAGTTTCACTTAAATTAAATGAGATTTTACAAAGCAGGGAACTTGTGGGTATAAAGATTAAAACATCATCATCATCATCATTACAGCCCTTCACAAGTCCACTGCCGAACATAGGCCTCCCCCAAAGAATGCCACAAAGCACGGTCCTGAGCCACCTGCATCCTTCGACTTCCTGCATGTCTTACCAGGTCGTCACTCCATCTCGTGGGGGGACGCCCTACACTTCGCCTACCGGTACGAGGCTGCCACTCGAGAACCTTTCTTCCCCATCGGTTGTCGGTTCTTCGAGCTATATGGCCGGCCCACTGCCACTTCAGCTTACTAATCCGTTGGGCTATGTCGGTCACTCTGGTTCTACTGCGGATATCCTCATTCCTAAGTTTATCACGCAGAGAAACTCCGAGCATAGCCCTCTCCATAGCTCGCTGGGCGACCTTGAGCTTCCTCATACGGCCAGCAGTGAAGGATCACGTCTCAGTTCCGTAAGTCATCACTGGCAACACGCACTGGTTGTACAATTTCGTTTTAAGGTTTTGAGGTATGTCTGACGAGAAGATGTGTCGTAGCTTCCCGAACGCTGCCCAGCCGAGTTGAATCCGTCAATTGACCTCTCGGTCGAAGTTGGACTTACCTAGTCGGACTATTTGTCCCAGGTAAACATACTCGTCAACAACTTCGAGCTTAGTGCTCCCAACAACTACCGGCATAGGTGTGACATGGACATTAAACATGATCTTTGTTTTGTCCATGTTCATCTTAAGACCTATCCGTTGGGAAACACTATTGAGGTCATTGAGCATAGTGCTTAGGTCCTCCAGCGATTCTGTCATAAGGACTATATCGTCGGCAAATCGAAGGTGAGTGATGTACTCGCCATTGATGTTGATACCGTATCCTTTCCAGTCCAGAAGCTTGAAAACGTCTTCCAATGCAGCGGTGAAGAGTTTCGGGGATATGACGTCACCCTGTCTTACACCTCTCTGCAATTGGATAGGTTTCGTACTCTGGTTCTGTACTCGGATAGCCATCGTAGCCCTACTGTACAAGCACTTCAACACTTCGATATACCGACAGTCAACTTTGCACCGCTGAAGGGACTGCAGCACCGCCCAAATTTCGACGGAATCAAAGGCTTTCTCATAGTCCACATACGCCAGACATAGTGGCAAATTGTACTCTTCGGACTTTTGTACAACTTGCCGAAGGGTATGTATGTGGTCTATGGTGCTAAAGCCCTTTCGGAAACCGGCTTGTTCGGGAGGCTGGAAGTCGTCAAGTCTGCGCGCGAGACGATTCGTAATGACTCTCGAAAACAGCACGTAGACGCGGCTCAGAA